TCTTCGTAGTGGTTATTCATAGTACAAAATGTAGACATGATATCCTGTCCAAACACTAATAGTACAAATCTTTCTTCTCATGGAATGAAGAGAAAATAGCTGTATATCTATGCTATTTTGTATATACATATACAAAATGGTCCTTCAATTGTATATACTTTTATTGTTTAGTTTTCTTAGAGATCGGTGTTCCATTGCCATTTAAATATTGTAGGTGCATGAATTCAGCAAAATAATTCAATATACTCCAGTGCTCCATAATAGTAGTGTGTTATCCATAGGATTTCTAATGTTGTTGACTTGAGCCTTTTACAGCTCAGAATATAAAAATGGCGTTACTTTTTATACCTCATATTTATGCTTTTCTGCTGCATGATTAAGGCCAAAATAAAGCAAGACCTATATAACAAGGAATGTAACTTTTGTATCTGACAAGGTCAGCCGAATTTCCTCAGGATTTTCCCTGAAGCCCTGTACCACAGTCTGTAGATCCTTTTTTTTTTTTTTTATTCTTCTTACTGGTTAATTGCTGTACAAGATGTGGACTTGAGATCCTATTTACAAACACCATTAGAACAAATCATTCTATTCATTAAGAGAATGCAACTATATATCTATCCTAACCACTTTGAATACACAGATACAAAATGGACATTCATCTGTATACCCTATTTTTTCTAAGTTCTGTTACTGAATATTATAGGTGTGTAAACTCAGCAAAATATTCTAAAAGAGTCCAGTAGCCCATAATAGCATTGGGTCTTCTGTTTAACTGGCAATGTCAGAAATTATTGACCTGAGTCCCCCACAGCTCAACATAACAGCATGGCTTTACTTCCTATATTTCATCTTCATACTTTTCTACTGGATGGTTAAGACCAAGGTAAAGCAGGACCTGTGCAACAAGAGTTGTAGCTTTTTGGTCTGAGAAGGTCAGCGAAATGCTCTCAGGATTTATCCTGAGATTCTGTACCTCAGATTGTAGAACCTTTGTCAGTGCAGCCATGTGGATTAATCACGGCCATTTCTTGGCCAATGTGCTCTCTGTGAAAGCCTGAGAGAGTGTTTTCTCCCCATGTGACTCTCCTTAGGCACACTCTACGTCATTGATCATGTTCCTTTTTGGCCCCATAATCTTCTTGACCAGAAAATTTGGGACACTACCGAGGTACATGACGTTACAGTACAAGTTCTCATATGTCCTGAATCTTAATTGACCTTAGAAGGGTAGGGCCAAAATATTGGCTTTCCTTGTAGCCCTCCTTTTTCTCTAATTTTGGTCTGCAAACTTAGGTTGTTAACCATCCAGAAGACAAGCTTATTGTTATTATCAAACGATTTAGGCTATCAAGCTTAACCTCACTATCTCACTGCATTTCAAACATCTTAGGCATAATAAGGAACAGGTATTTTTCATCAAGTATTGATATGTTGAACTTTAAGTCCCTACATAATATGATAAAAAATTTAAAAATTAGATTACATTTTAACATAGGATAAAGAATTATATACTTCTCATGTTTTCACATTAGTCCAAAAATCCCACCATATACAACCTTGAAGCAGGACAGTCCCACAATATTCCTTTTCCTGTCTCTTGCTTTCATTCACCACCCCCTTCTTCTTGAACATCCACCTACCCGAGAGACATCTTAGCAGTAACTGGCATGTACACTGACAATTTTTTTAAAAAATAAACATCCATTTAATTTTTTATCATACCTCACACATTCCTTGGTTCAGTACCTACATGTTTAATCAGAAAGGCTAGAGGTAGGTGTGCTGGTCAATACCTGTATTTTTAGCACTCCATGGGCTGAGACAAGAAGGTTGCTTGAGTTCAAGCGAGCCTGAGTTACATACGTGTTCAGGGTCATCCTGCACAACTCAGTGATGTTCTAATGTTCTGATTT